CTGTACGTTGCAATCCAAAGCCCAAACAGGCTCTAGTGAATGAGTTTTGTCAAAGAGTTAGCTTGTGATTTAATTTTTTAGGAGAACTGGTGCTGCTTGTGCAATATGCTCAGAGAAAACGCGTGCATAAACAATGGAGACAACACGTGGAGCTATTAGCTGTCGTTGATTAACTGGCACTCCGTTGTGTCTCCGGGGAGGATTCTTCTATGTAATGTTCTTATTAATCTTTTTTTTATATCAACAATGACAGTCTCAATCTACACTAGGGTTTCAACTTTCAGGTATTTTGTATGCACGGAGGAGAAAACTAAAAAGGATATTTTAGTAATTAACATACCAGTTGTTCTATCTATAATCTCTATGGGTTAAATAATGAAAGAAGAATTGAACGAGAGAGAGAGGGAGGGAGGTGTCCTTGCATCACCATCACCATCTATTATCTCGATTGTACTTTGGGAGGGGGTTTATATTAAATAGAATGCACCCTCCTGCACGCAATAGCTCACCAACACACTGGCTCATCAGGGACTCTGCAGTGCAGGCCGAGTGGGTGAGTGGGTGAGTGGGTGAGGGTGAGGCAGTCTGTCCTCTCACCTCCTTCCCTCTCTTTTGTCCCCCCCAAGTCTGGCCGTCTCTCTGGTGTCTGGTCCCTTCCCAAATGTGGGTCCCACTCCGACATCAAGGCACAACGACTTCCCATCTGACGCCATCTTCGCTTGCAGCTGACGGACGCCCTTTCGCCTTTCGCCTTTCGCCTTTCGCTAGCTAGTTCCTCCACTTCCACCACTCCATACACCCCACACAGATACCGCAGCATTATATCCTCCCGTCCAAGGAAAGCATCCCCCTTCGCGGCCCACCTATTTTCATTTTGATATTTTCCTTCTCCTTGTAATTATTATCTGTCATTGTCAAGAAGCAGGCCCTTGACTCATTTTAATAATATTACATGGTTTAAGTTTAAGCTGGCTGGAATATTAGAACTTATAAGATACATATATAATAATCTCTGAATCTCTCTTCTTTTGAATGAAGTCAATAGCCCGACGAAAGATGAAACACGTGGCATTTAAGTCGGACGCGTTATAGTGGTGAAACTGAAGAAGAAAAATAAGGAAAGAAAAAACCGGAAACGGCGATTAGTTGGATCCTTGGTGGAAAATATATACTCCACCCAATGACCCAATGCTGAAAGGCTAACCGGTAGTAGGGGTGGTGGTGTTTAGACCTGACGGCTACGGGTTTCCCAGTGAGGAGGGTGGAAGCTTAAGGTTTTGTCACTTCGACTTGAATGAAAAGGCAGCTCGGAAACAGGTCAATCAAAGAGACTGTTCGCAGGTGTTCAAAAAGAACCGGTACTCATTGTCTGTCCGTACGGATTCTGACCGGGAATAGCAGGTCTCAAGTCCCACTAAACTTTCTTCTATGTCCTTCGTAATCCGTGCATGAGATATATCGCTCGCTGGTGGTGAGTAGAGGGAAGGCGAAGGGGAAGCGGAACTGGGGAAGGGGAAAGTATTATTGTATCAAAATGGACGAAACCGTGAAACGATGTGCTCATGTCAGACTATTTTACCGAAATACCCTTCTCCCCCTCGGAAGAGGATCCAGACGATTAGCCTATCAGATCCTAATTACGATATTAGCCTAATGAGGGAGATTGATTACCCTTAAGGTTGGTTAAATAACCAAAATACCCTCCTGTTTCGTTTTTTTTTTTTGAGTAGATTTTGTTGCCTTTTTTTATTGTTGTTTCGAGCATAATAATTTTTAAAGTTTTTTTTTCTGCTTGTGTCACAAAGGTTATTTTTGAATGTAAATGCAAGTTTGGATTAGTTTTGCATTGATAGATTTTATATTGATTTTGCTTACACCGTGAGAAAGAAGTGATCAGAGTGTTCGAATTATTTTACTTGGGGTGGACACTCCGATGCTTAATTCAGTAAACGAATAAGATGATTGCAAGAATGTAAAAGAGTTAGAGTGTGTACAGGGGTGGAGACAAGAAATTTTTATAAGGAGGCCAAAACCTAAATGAAGTATGAAGGGGGGAGGGGGGGCAACCATTCAGGTGGAGAGTGGGGAGAGGGGAAAATTTACATAGAACACTATATTATTGTTGAGATTTTCTGAACCATAGGGGGCCATGGCTCCCTTGCGTCCCCCTAGCTCCGCCCCTAAGTCTGTGAGAGCTAAATTGTGCCTACCTTTTTTCTGTGAATGGTGATGCCCTTATATAGGCTAACTGTCATGAGGCTCACGAAGAGCGTCCAAGATCTCTGGCCCGTTTAGTTCGGAGGTGGTTTCATGCATAAAGATGGACTCTATGTAAGCGGGTAATGCGTATTCAGTTGCACCTAAAACAGGCATGGTGATAACCAGTTCTTCCAATTATGGCATTGTGATCCCGAGAAAGTCGAAAGCGATAACCCACTCGTGGAGGTGGTCATCCAGCACTTAGATAGGTTGCTAACCGAACTTGAGTCAGGTCGATAGAAGCAGGTTGCCTCTTACACTGACCTAATGTCTTGCCAGGCCGTTAGGCCATTCGTATTTTGGCCTATCGAAATAATGCTGAGGTCATCAAGGCGGGTGTGAGATATTTAAGGTGCCATGTGTTATCATGTCATTGGATGGCCAAATCGCTCCTCATCATTACCTATACAATGTACTTTTTTCATATTGACCAACTTTGAATACAAAAATTAGCGTTCATTTTCAATATAAAGATTTATTCTTACCAAACAATTGCAATAAAAATCAAAGTATAAATTCACCTTGCTTATGCATTTGCACTCTTACTAAACACAAGCAAAATTTGGAGATGATTATTCCATTTAATGTGAGGTTAAAGACGATATCAGAATTATACAATAAGAAAAAGATGATAATAAATTTTTAATTTATTTATGCCTTCAATGTTTTTTTTTGGTTAATGCCCTATACTGATAATAAACTTACTAATTTCATGAAAGATTGCAATTTAAAGACATTTAGCCCTTCAAGTATTACACCATACAAGTGCAAATATAAGGTGTTAAAGAAAATCCATTGAAACATTATATAACATACTAATTGCAGCTGATCATTTGAAGGACCCTAATGGTGTGAAGTTTTCGGTGGAGTTGTCGCAACAGTATGTGACTTTTGAAGGATACACTACTACAGTATGCTAATGCACTAGCCTTAGGTTTCTTGTAATCGAAGATTAAGATTTGCTAATAGAACTGCACATTGTCTAGCTAGAATTGCTACTACTTTTTTTAGACCTTGTACTTACTCTAGTTGTCCTGATTTCCTAGCATGCATTGTTGCATCTGATGTACTAACTCAGACGGATGAATGAAATGTTCTTAGATAAGTATTTAGCAAATTTAACATTATTTCTCGGACCCAAGTGCTTATTAATTAATTTTATCATCATCATCATCATCATCTTAATCATATTTCGTTCACCTGCATTTATTACTATTTCTACTTATATAAGTCCACCCCGAGCCCTATTAACCACTTTAAATTGTAACAAATCATTTAGGGCCCGTTTGGTGCTTTTTTTTTTGCACGGTCATTTGACTGTTTACAAGCCACGAAGGCCGATTTTTGTCTATTTCTATTTGGCACGCGAAAGATCTAATCGCCAAAAGATGGAATACTGAAAAGATTCGAGAAGTCCATTTTGGGCTGATTTCAGGAAGCTCCAAATGAAGTTTCTTACGTCTTTTGCATTTTAATTTCTTGCGGAAAGACACACATCTGCCAAATGTGCTTTGGGCTGCTCAGATCTTCATGCAAAAACTCAATGTATCTTTTACATATAAAAATTACCACAAGATCTTTTCAAAAAAAATGCACCAAAAGAAACCTTATTTTTAGTGATGATGGTGTTATATGCTTGTGAACAAATCATCTTATTGTATATAAAAATTGATGATTTACTTGAAAAGTATTTAGCAAATATGTACATCAATTCTTTCATCATTACAAAGTATTTTAAGTAAGCATGTCTTTCATCTTCTAAGGCATGCAATAGTGTTAGGCTCTCTTATTGGACACTCTGATGCCATAAGTTGCAAAGTCAATGAGATTTATTTGTATTTGGAATGCCTAGGAATCTTCTTAAGAGAGCAAATTTGGATGAAAAAGCAAGGGAGAGATGAATTCTCAAGTCGACTTAAATGAGAATCATGACATATGCAGATTTTGATTCAAGATGATTTCATTTGGAAACAATTTCTGATTATTGGTCAAGGTTTGAGAACTTACTTGAAAACGTAGCAAGCAATTAATAAAACAAACTTTAAGTATTAGATGGACCACAAGCTTCTAAGTTAATTGCTAAGGAAGAATTCTTTTCAATGGGTTGCAGAAGAAACATTTTAATCAAAATTAATCAATGGGTGTCATGTGACTATGACACTTGTGTTTTCCTCTAATTAGCCTAAATATATCAAGAAATAAGCCTAAAATTAAGTGGATAATTATTACTTGGGTAACAAGAAACTAAGGCTTCTCAAAGAAACAATGAAAGAATTTCCTGCACCATTCAAAGGGTTGATAAAGATTAAAATCTTTCACACGCGCAGAGGGTAAGGAATTGTGAATTAGGGGTGAGAGTCAGAGAGGATATTTTGGTAATTACACAAAGCAATAGACGGCTACTGAGACAATCAGTAGTTAGGCAATAAGAACATATCCTAGAGGGGGGGCAGTTATGCCATTGTGCAGCAGAACAACTGAGGGACAAATTAGGAACTCAGCCACGCATTTAAATGCTCAGAAATCAGTACCGGAGGACGTAAAAATAGGAGATACTGGTGTTAATCGGACGGCCCATGTGACTCGCTGCAAATCTGGACGAGGGACAATAGTGCGCACTTTGGCGTCCCACATCAGGTCACCAAGATATAAAGTGACGTCTACTCGATGCTCAAGACTTCGCTCTCTCTCTCTCTCTCTCTCCTCTCTCTCCTCTCTCTCTCTCTCTTATTTTCGTTTCTCTCATTTTCTTTTACCTTGTTGTAATTTTTTTTTTTTCATTTTGAGTTTTTTCATTTTCCCTTCTTTTTTTTAGATGAGTTCATCTTCTCGTGTGCTTGGATCCTTAAAGTCTGAATCCATTTCCATTCAAAGGAGGCGAAGAGGAAGATCCGATCGAAGACGTTCCTTCTGCGGAACCAAAGCTTCTCGGCACGAACACAAAGGCGACGATCTAAGGCCATTTTCAATCCATCAAGAGACGCAGACTCTATCACTTTCTTTGGACCGGGAAAAGATCGATTGTTAGTTTGTTTCAGTTCTTATTTGATGAAGATTTAACCACGTATTAGTGATTCGTAATAGAGATATCTGGGATGAAAATAGGTTCTTTGGAATTATTGTATATACTTTTTCATTTCTAGAATTTTTGGTAGGATTGAATTTCTTGTTCTTGTATTGCAGATGTTCTCGGGGCATTAGAAGCAAGAGTTTGATCTAGGAGGTGAGATGAAGATCTTGATATTTTCCTTTCCTTTTTCCTTTTCGACGATGCATGAAATAAAAGATTTTCAGAGAGAAACATATATGATACGGAAATATGTCATCTGATTTCAGTTACGGGCGGTGATTTCTAAATTCAATTTACAGGATAAGGTTTTTGAGTCCGATGATTTCTTCGTTTCAATCCTGAAACAAGGTTTCATATAAAGAAAGATACGAACTTTAGGTTTTGAGCGAGGTTTGTTGAAGTAGAAAAACATCTCCCAGCTGGGCCCTTCGATATTATCTTACTCTTTTCAATTGATGTCTTTGCGAGTTTCTACAGACACGGAGCGAGAGAGATAGAGAGAGGTGGGTGAGAAAAAAAATTTGTTACAAAGAAACGGTTTTTAGGGATATGTACGATCTTTCGTCAAACACCACATCATACACGAAAGGGCCAGCGTCGTCGCTGTTTAATACCGATAAGCCATCTTTGATTCGTTTTCTAATCGTGGTCTCTCTCTCTCTAAAATCTATATTTGCCCTGTTTTTTTTTTCTTTTTTTTTGTTTTTTAGTGCTTTAGAAGTTTATATTCTTGTGAGTTTTTTCGGCTCTCTTATATCGCTTCCACTCCCCGTAATTTAGTTGATCGCATTTGGCAAAAATTCTTTGGTCGGAAATAGGAAACCCTTGGCTACTCGGTTTGCTAAAATTGGTACATAAATCTCTTCAAACCTAGAAAATATGAAGCTTTCCTTCAAAACTTCTTACTATTTAATGTCTGCAACTCTGCATTTGTGTCTGTGTGTGCCGATTATCCATGGCACTTCTTTACATTGGGTTTTGTGATTTTCTACCTTTCTGGTGCAAGTATGCAGACGCAATTTTTGATATATATATATTTCTTCTGCTGCTCGCTCAAAGTTCTACCTGACTAATTGACAAGATTGTTGAATGGGAAGACAGTCTTATCCAATTTATTTTTTGTCTTTCGGACTGATTTTTTTTTTCTTTTTGTTTTATTTTTTCTCCTGAACAATCAGCAATGGCGTCGTCGTCAAATTCGCCCTGTGCCGCCTGTAAGTTCCTCAGGCGCAAATGTACGCAGGAGTGCGTATTTGCCCCCTATTTTCCCCCTGACAATCCTCAGAAGTTTGCAAATGTACACAAGGTGTTCGGAGCAAGCAACGTTGCTAAGCTCCTCAACGAGCTTAGCACAACCCAGAGAGAGGACGCCGTGAACTCGCTGGCCTATGAGGCGGAGGCTCGTCTTCGCGATCCTGTGTACGGCTGCGTGGGCCTCATTTCCGTCCTTCAACAGAAGCTGAAACAGGTCCAACACGACCTCTACAATGCCAAGAAGGAACTCTCCAACTACATTGGCCCCTCCGCGATGCTCCCCATCACTCATCAACATCATCACCACCTCTTGCACCACCACCAACAACACCCGTCTCCGTCCATGGGTGGCCCGTTCGGGATGTCCTCGGTTGGCATGGGCATGCCTCCTGGTCCTTCGGCACAGGCCCAGTTTCTGATACGGGAGCAACAGCAGATGATCGAGGCTCAGCAACTGGCAGGAGTTATGCCTATGAGAGATCAGCATGAGATGATGAGGAGATTTGAACAACAACAGCATGACCTAGTAAGGTTTAACAGCGGTTTTGATGTTCCCGCCGGGGCCGGAGGCGCGGGTAGTAGCAATGGTAGTGGTGGTGGTGGTTTTACCGACGTGCCTAGTGGGGTTGGTGGTGGTGGATATAATCAGATGAGTGCGGCATTGCCCTCTTCACTAGCTTTGGTTCCGTTTGACAACCCATTTCAGGTTCAACAACCGCAACCAGAGCACCCACAGCAACCGCATCCACCGCACCTACAGCAATACCAACAGCAACAACAACAGCACAGAACTGGAAGCGATGAGGGTAGGAGCGTTGGTCCTTCATCTTGAATCTAGCAGAAGCATGGTTTAACCTCTTTCACAAATCTGCTCCCTACTCGGTATGCTCTCAGCCTCTGAACTCTCACTCTTTTGATTCCATAATCTTGCCCTTGCACTTGCAACTACGCCGCCCTTGTGCACTGTGAAAAAAAAAAGATGGTATTAGAAAATTGGGACGTTGCATGTGTGCGTCATTTCAATGAATTGACCAGAATGCCCTGAAGCCTGAAGGTGTTGTTCTCTTTTTTTTTTTTTTTCATTTTTTTTCCTTACACAAACAGGGCACCCCTTCCTGAGAAAAAAATGTTTTCCAATATAAAATTCCAATCCAATATTATTTTGGGATGGGCCACGATATTCACTGGTTTAGAATTTTAGGATTAATGAGTATGAGATGCCAGACCGAGAAAGCAGGATCTCAGAAATAACATCATTACCCAAAAAAGAAGAGATAATAAAGAACTCCAATATTGTTGTGGCTTGCCTGAGTTTTGAATTTGAAAAAACAGGAGAAGAATTAAAACGCAGAAACGTGGTGGTGATCAGGGAATAGTACACCATGGTAATCCATATCTCTTGATTTCTCAAGATCTAAACGTGTTTATTGTTTCCACGTCTACACTCAAAAAGTGATATTACCCGCTTCTACCAAAATAAAATTCCATTTCCACAAATTAATAGAATTTCCTTTTTGGCTTAATATGCAATTGTGTAAATTAAAGAATCTGATGGGAACTGTTACATAAACTGGTACTTTGTATATCTTTGGTACAGGTTAAAAATTAAACATTCCCAGCTCCAGGGGCAAAAGGGACAAATCAAAGCAAAGGAAGAACAGAGAGAACAATGAAGACGGAATCCTGCTGGACTTCTGAAGAAGAGGCATATTTTGGAGTTTTGGCTATTGATACATATATTTTTTTTATAATTATATCTCTTTTCTCTCTTTGACCAGTTTGAAGAAAGGAAGGAGGAGGAGGAGGAGAAGAAGGGTATATCTTGGAAAACGCGTTTAAAAGAGAAAAAAAATTACTTTGTTTGCTCTGATCTCAATCTCAATTACTATCCTTTTGTCCTTTATTTATTCGTTCATTAATTTAATCTCTCTCATCTTTGAATGGTAGCCGCTCCCTTCTCCTTGACGTCACCGGCGGATCTCTTTTCATTATTTATGTCCTGCTTTTTTTCTTTTATTATATATCGTATGGACTCGTGTAGGTTTTTTGAATGGTTGTTTAATTGTTTTAAAGAAGACTAGACCTTAACCTCACCACCCCTTTTTATTTTTTTTTCTTTTTCTTTTTCTTTTGATCGATGATCATCATAAGAGATTTTGTTAGTGTTAGTTACAAAAGTCTCTTTTTCTGGACACTTCTAATCTGTAGTTGGTTACAATTTTTGCAAATCTTCTTTCTGTCTGCCTCCACTTTTCAGTTAGATTAGTATTAAGAGACGCGCGCAGGTTGTATGCACAGTGCACCGAGCCATGGCTGATGCCGTTTTTTTAATTATGTTTATATATTAGAGGAAGGTATTAGCGAAGAAAAAGAGAAGGAAACTGAAAAAGATAAAAGCCCAGAAAGGCAAAAGCATGCAACGGTGAGTGAATGGTCGTGGAATTTTGTTGCGTTCTTTTAATATTGATGCCCTTCATTTTCCTGATAAAAATTTGACAAGGGTTGAAGCGATGGTTGGAATCATTTCAAAAATGTGCGGCCGGGGATGGCAAACCGAAATGGTAATGATGTGATAGTACACTTCACTATTATATTACCAAGTGCGTTGTTTCCCAGTACCATGCCTTGGCACCGACCCACACCCCGTCACCCCCTACCGCAGACATAGGTAGGTCACAGTCACAAACTCACAATCCCTTCTTATCCCACCTTTGCATGGGTTAGTGCAAAATTTTCAAAGCATACAACCACCACTATGTTCTAAATCCACCTCAGCCCATGTGATGTAATTAATTTGCTGGTACATGTTTGACCACAACTTTAGTTTTTACTCCAAGCCCATGTTTGACTAGTCAATTGATCGTATGGCGAAGGATGTCTCACACTTCGTTGGTTTCTATTACTTTCTTGGGTAACATGCCATCGAGGTATGTTACTTTGATCCCAGCGGTCTATTGTTAGCATTACTCCTGCAGTTACAAAGCATGTGCACTAACTGTACGGTCCAAGCTGTTACCATACGATCTATAGCCCCTCTTTCGCTGTGGAGTGGATCATAGATATATATATATATATATATATATTAAACTAAGAAGGCACAGGTGTTGCCGCTTATATATTTTTATTGTATTATATAATCACCGAATGCAGTGCAATTGCGATGGGAAGAGGCAGCATATGTGGATTGGAAATGAGGAACCAGTTGGGAAGCATATGAGAAGGGTCGGGAGTTGGGACGACGAAGATGTATTATACTATACGACAGGAATACTGAATTTTATAAAAGGGAAAGGGATGGTTCTCTTTCTCTTTCTCTTTCTCTCTCTCTCTCAATCTTTATCTCTGAACAATAAAAACCCCTATATTATATAAAGGAGTGCAGAACAGAGCCATTGTTTGGAGTTGCTTCTTTGCACGGATTTCCACAACAAATCAGTGAAAGAAAGTAAAGAAAGAAGAGACAAAGTCAAAACGAGTGTTGCATACATGCTATCGCTTTAGTAAACAAACGAAGTTTTTAAGACGAAATGGACATGATGGAACAAAAAAAAAAAATTGATGTCAGGTGGCAGTAGAGACAAAAAAGGAGAACTTATGACTCCACACCAGCTTTCTGACATGTTGGAAGCTTCTTATTATATATAAACTTTCACTTCTGTCTTTTCGGCATTTCTTTCCCACCGGGGATATAAACTCATTAAAGTTAAGAAAAGGTAAAATAAAATAAAAACCGAGATAGCAAGTAGCATCTAGCAAGCGTGAGCCGAAGTCCAAAAGCGTAGCATGCAGAAGGGCCTGGGCCAGGGGTGATGACAGGCCAATTGGGTTTTGAAGCTGTACACGAGATTGGCATTGGCTGTGGAGCTCTCGGCCTCAGTGGCCCGTCTTTTAGCAAAAACACATCATGAAGATTGAAGCATCAAGGGTGCTAAGTTGCTACACCTACACCACCTACACGTGAAGGCATATCCCATTATCCTCTGTAGTCTGTTCAAACATACAAAATATGAAGGATGCAAACTCCAATCAGAAAAGGCATGCATGCATGGATGGGCCATAGAATAGAATCCTTTTTTTCTGTGGCCTCACGGAGGGATGAGACCCAACCCATGGGCCTTGTCAGACGATGTTTGTTTGGGCTGAGCTGGGCAGAAAAAGAGAGTTGTACCAGTGCGTTGGGTTGGACTTTTTGGTCCGCGTCAACCCTATATGCCTACACACTGTAACGTAAATCAATTTCAAATTACAATGGCAGACAGGAAAGAGGACTCCTTTCCTAAGACATGAACACACATTGCATGCTAAAGTGCATCCACACGCAACGCAAACGAATAAAAAGACAAGTCTGTCTCTCTCTCTCTCTCTCTCAATTAAAGGAGGGTGTGGCCAATCCAAGCCATCCATCCTTCATACAATGCTCTGAAAAAAATAAAATACCTCTCTCTCTTTCTCTCTCATCTACGTGAACAAGTCCAACCAATGGATGGGATCCCTTCGGTGCTGCCGTGAAGCTGTCCTGCATTAGATTTCAAATGTTGTGAGAAAGACCTTTAGCTGCATGATTGGTCTAATAACGAAGCTGCTAGTTGATGACTCAGTTGGCTGCTCGTTTGTTTCAACAATTATAATAAATTCAAAATAAATGGGCGGGTACAAAAAGTTTACCCATTAATAATTGTTGACTTGTCCTCTATCTGCAAGAATGTGTTACTCTTTTTTCAATTGTTCAAAGCTTATTTTATTTTATTTTTTTGTTGTGTTTGGAAACACTGTTATTTCTACCTAATGCATACATGTTGGGTTGAATGGTATAAGCTTTGTGAAGATGACATTTTTTTTCTGCCTGAAATGTTACATTTTAGGTTCATCAATACAATTTGTTGGTCCTACTTGAAACATCAAAACTTGATGGTTTAACAATAAATGTCAACAACTGCTCCAATATATGCATTTTTTTTTTTTAATTGAAGCAACTCTCATATGTGATGTAACAATACATATTTCTCGAAAAAAATACATATTTTCATCAATTTGTATTAATCAACTTAAAACATTTCAAGTAAATAATTTCCATATCAAATATAGTTTAGACTGCACTTGAAAATGGTACAAATGCTAATAAAAATATTAAATTGCTTGATAAGTTGACCAGAAAAAGGGAAAAAAAAAACAAAAAGGATATAAAGAAACCTATACACAAATGGCTCGCTAGTTATTAGGCTGAATTCAGATGTGCTGACTACAATACATTGCTGGTCATATGCACCCAGCCACACATTGGGAATATTAGCAATATAAAGTATAAGAGATGTTTCCAATGTTTGAATGGGCGAACATGGCCATCGATGTGTTTGATGCAATCCATAATCATGGTCTGTGAAACATGAAATCATATGACTCTATTCGTTACTGGACTTCTAATAGCTAATTCATTAAATTTTTTAACAGCTAGTTTTACATTAAATGCTCTAATTATTAGATTTTGTTCTCTATATAAAACCTAGTAGTTTCAAGCTAGAGAGACATTAAATTCTTTTCTTTGTTTTGAGAAATCTAGAGCTTTCTTTGAGAGTTGAGAGACTCCTCTCTTTGGGTGAATGAGTCCTCAACTCCCTTGGATGGGAAAATTCGCACCAACCTTGTAGCCTCATATTAATAGAGTTTCGTCCAATCTTCTTCTTTCATCTAATTCTTTGAGCAAATTTCTCACATTCTCTCATCCTATTTGAGTTGCATCAGTGTTGTGGTCAATAGATCTAAACTCTATTAAGCAACATGAGAATCATGAGGTGTTTGTTTGGGAGGGCTTTTCCATCCAATGGCTTTTGTGGCTTTGCAAGGTAGACCCTACAAAGAAAGCCTATAAGTTATATTTGGTTAAAAAAATATATATATCCTGCAAAGCTGATGTGCACTTTCATTCAACTAAGAAATCAAATTCCCCCTTAATCAAAACTAAATCCCTCCTACATGGGCTCCAAGGCAAGATTCTACCCCCAACTCTAAGGTTTGATTCTGCTATCACCCTCTTTAAAATAACAATTTTAAGAACACCCATTAATTTAACCTACATTTATCCATTCCTTCCTCCAAAAAGAAATTATAGATTTTTATTGTTCAGTCCCCCTTAGGTACTGCATTCATACATTAAAGGTTTCTCCTAAATACTGAAACATCTCTTGTGTTTTCAAATTGGATTAAGACCTCCCTCATTGGATGATGTCACTGGACAAATACTTCCCTTCCGTTAACACTCCATCAAGATCCGCTTGTGCATCACATTATGTGTTGGTTAATTTTGTTTTTCAAAACCCAATTTTGCTCATCTATATCTATATCTATATCTATTGGATTAAATCCAATGGGTTTGATTGGTCAATTACATGAGAAATTGCACCTACACACTTGATTGAAAATTTAACTTTTCTCTTACAAAATCCAGTTTTGATCTTGTCTCACATTGGAAAATTATAAGCTTTGTTTTCAGTATTTTCATAGGAACTGATTTAGAGTATGGGGGTTTGATACTGCGTAATGCGCACACACGCATGTGTCCTTCGCGCACCCACGTGGATCGCGAAGGGTGACTTTGGTTTTGGTGTGATGCTAACCATTGATCACCGTTGATGAGATCAACGGCCATGATTCGATTAGGTGTGATCAAGAGTCACAATTCAAAGTTAATAGTCATTAACTGTTAACTACTTTTTAAACTATTTAAGGAGCATGAATCACACTCCAAAAACACACAATTTCGAAATCCACTTTCTCTCTCTCTCTCTCAGTCCGGTCTGCTACAGTCTCATAGAAGGTTTTTTGAAAATTCTTCAACTTTGCTGGTTGCAGATTCTCGTCCAAGGCTTTGTTGTATATTGGGAACGGATTTGCCTGTAACCCAACAACAAACTCGGTGAAACTGAGTGGGGACAAATAACGTTGTAAAGACAGTGTCTTCAGACGCGCCTAAGAGCTTCTCCTCCAAAGTTATAGTGACCCCATTTTCCAACAATATCTATATCTATCTATCTATCTATCTATCTATCTATCTATCTATCTATCTATCTATTTATTTATCTATCCACAATTTCCTCTTGCATCTTCCATGATTTGCATATGTGCCAATGGTGGTGCTACTCTGTCTTAAACAAAATAATTAGCAAATCCTTCAGTTTCAAATTCTAATATTTATATTTG